ATTACAAAACGAATCATTAAGCCACGTCTTGGTAATACATATAATTTTGAAATCATTAATACAGACATTATCATAAAAGTTGGTACATTTAGTATGCAAACCTCTAACATTTTGATAATAGATATCAATAAAATCCAAACGCTTAGAACCAGATGTGGTGAGACGATCCGAAATGGTGGCACAACAGTTACCTAACATATTTAAGAGGCACTGATGCTTCCTCTAAGCTCCTCACAATATAACATAAGATAATATATGAACATGAACACCCCATTAGCAGAATCACATCTTCAAACCAACATCAACAGTCAAAATTCAGTCTCATATACATATTATTAATATTATTATTATTATTGAGTGTTCTGTCTGACGACAGGTCCATTGCTCTGCCCAAAGAGAGCTCGCCAGTTCTCCCTATTCTCAGCTTCTCATTTTAACTCCTGAAACTTCATCTTCTTTCCTTGTTTCAGATCATCGGTTAGCTGTATCAGTCTTCTTCCCAGTCCTCGCTTTCCTTCAATCTGGCCATCGATGATATCACTCAGTAATCCGTTCCTTCTCATAATATGTCCCAGCCAGTTAGCTTTCCTTCGTGTAATCGCCTGCAGAATGTTTCTTTGCTCGTTGACTCTCCTCAATACTTCTCGCTGGTCACTCGATCCGTCCACCTGATCTTCTCTATTCTTCTCCAACACCACATTTCAAAACTCTCCAGGTATTTCTGTTCCTTCTTCCTGAGTGTCCAAGTCTCTGCTCCATACAGCGCGACACTCCATATGTAACACTTCACTAGTTTCTTCTTCATCTCCAAGCCCAACTTGCTAGTAAGAAGTATCCTCTTCTTGACAAAGGCTGCCTTGGCCATGGCTATCCTTGCTTTTACCTCCTTGGTGCATAGAGCATCCGTCGTGATTATGCTTCCCATTATTAATATACTGATAATAAAATACACAAAATAGCAAAAGGCATTAAAATTGTCCCTATGCACAGGTATGTTGTAAGCTGCAGTAAAGTTTCACATATTCTTCATTTCTACATCTGATAGAGGTGATGGGGATGAGTGGTTAGCTTCATAATGTGGCTGATTTAGCCATGATGAATAAGCCATGGTACCCAATGCACAGGAGATTGGGTGAGCCCAAGAGCTGATCCAGACATGGGAGTGATGACCAAAACACCGATCTTGATCCTGGTCATCTCACCAGTACTTATTCCTGTGCCAAAAGTTCCTGATTCCAAATTTGGGCCCCTGGTACTACTCTGGAGTGCAATGAAATGCTAATTTTCTTTACAAAAATACAATTTGTTGGAATGCCATCTATTACTATAAAATTAATAAAGGGTAACTGAGAATGAGGTATCAACACTAACAGCCTTATTTAAAATATTAGTTTCTGAGCAATCAAATAAATGTATACTGACCCACAAATATTTACCTTATCTCTGCAAAGAGTTCCTCTCCAGAATTAAGAATGATTTGTTTTCTTTCAGCAGAGAGGTCAGTGGCTCCATCATCTGATTTGGTAAACCTCTCAGGAGGAAACTGAGCTGTAGCTGTTTGGGAAGACATTATCAACTTCAGTATCATTAAGAACTATTTACATATTCATTTGAGATAGAAATTTTGTTATTATTTTCAACAGATGCTGAATAACTGAGTACTTGTAAGTCTTCACATCTAGCAGGCACATTCAGCAGGTGTACATACAGCGTGAAAGTCTATTAGATTCAGTGACTGTTAATTTTCAGATCTCAATGTATCAGGATGTTGCAACCTGACAAGCAAGTGAACAAAAGCTCTGTGTATGACTAGGAAAGACATTCTCACAATAACACGGTGAGGGAAGCATATAATGATAAGATGATGGTGATGGGAAATAGTTGGCATTTGAAGGTGGGCTGAAAATCAAAACCAACAGTAGAATGTAACGGGGGTGGGGGGCACACACTGTGTCTAACAAGTCATTCAAGAGAACAGAGGACAAAGTTGTCAAAACCATCGATAATCTTTGCCATCTGTAGGAAACTGTCCATCATAAATTCTTATGAAATCTGGAATCTAGATACTACACAGTGACAATACACTAAATCAGTGGTCTCCACTAACACAGACCAAGAATGATATGAATGTATTTCCACAACATCTGTACACAGTTTTCACCACGATCCATCTTTCTCCCTTTTAGGTTCAAATATCCTCTTCAACACTCTGTTCTCAAACAGCCTCAATCTTTGTTCCTCCCTCAAAGTGAGAGATCAAATTTCACACCCATACAGCACAACTGGCAAAATTACACTTTTGTAAATTTTAATCCTTAGTTGTTTTTATGAAATGGGAGTACAAAAGATTTTGAACTGATTGCTAGCAAGCATTCTCTGAATTTAATCTGCTCTTAATTTTGAAATTATTGTCATTATGACTTGTCAGTGTCATCACCAAGTATTTTAATTTTGTCACATTTTTAAACTATTCATTAGCTGTCCTTATATTCCGATTCTGTCCTGAATTATGCCGATATATGATCATACACTTTGTATTTTCTGCATTTATTTCTATACCAACATCCCTACTAACCCTTAAGAATGTTTCTGTGTTCGCTTTTATAGTATTTATATTATCGCCCAACAGATTAATATCATCAGCACAGACCAAAAGTTGATATATCCTATTCAATTCAAAACTACCCTGATTTTCTTGGACTTTCCTGATGGTATATTCTAAGGCAAAATTGGAAAGCAGCGGCAATAGAGCATCTCCCTGTTTCAGGCCATTCAGAGTAGGAAATGTATTGGACAAATGATTACCTACACAAATTTTGCCAAAGGTTTCACTCAAACATGTTTCAATTAGCCTGACCAGCTTAAAATGTAAGCAAAATATTGTAAAGATCTTCTCTTTTAACTGAGTCATAGACTTTCTTGAAGTCTATAAATAGTTTATGGACCGTCCCTTTGTACTCCCATATCTGACATGATATGGCCAAAAAGTGTTCTTCATTCACACTATATGGCATTCTAGGTAAGGATATTCTGTACTGGTACACATAACAACCTCATGCATTCTTGTAATGTGCATTGAGAGATAATGTCTGCCTTGTCCCACAAAATAAATTTATAAATTCTGAAAATTGAAACATTTCTAAGTCTTCCAAACTTTCAAAATTATTAAACACCAACTATTTTAAAATTCATATTTAAACATCTATCCTAACTTAAACTTCCTTGACTGAAACTAAACAAACCTAACCTAATATAACATGTCTTCACCTACCCTAACAGACCTGATTTATCCTAACCTAACCTGTCCTAACAAAAACAATCTTAACATACATGAACACTTCGGCTTATTCCCACCTGCATCAATAAAAATCATGATTTCCATAGTAACCTCGGCGAGCATTCAAAGACTGCATAACAGTATGATGTACATGGTGGCACAGAACATTATTTGATTGATGAATACCTATTTTCCCATCGTCTGTCACAAACCAAGCCATGAGCCAAGCAAAAGTCACTACTATGAAGTGCAGATATTAAGAGAATACTAGCATACAGCAAGGCAATCATGTTCAGTTTAAAGCAGCTGCTTCATTGACAACATTAAAATAGTAAAAAATCCAATATTTCATGCACCTAACAACAGATTACTGTAGGAATTTGTATTCTTTGAAGAATACTAACATTCTTCACATCACACAGGTGATTGGTGCAGTAACACAATCCAAAGTAACTGTCATTCCCGTACTAATCACCGATGTGCTTTATGTAATTCTTGCACTAATGTGATGAGGTCATTGTTGCACAACAATGTTTTAACAATGACCTCTTCCCATTGTTACTTCACAGTGTTCTGCAATGACTCAATCAATACAAGTTGCCTATCCCACAGGTAAAACATATCAGACATGGGTGATATTTGTTTGTGCTAGAGCACAAAGAGCAAATAATAAAATCTGACAGCACACTTCAATTACCATCCTATACTGAAAACTTATTATGCATATCATGTACTCACTATTATTGATACCAAAAATCTCATCAATCAGCCCCTCATATGTAAGCTGAGTTGCAAGGGGAGTGAGAAGATCCACTCCTCGGTCCAAGAGCAACAGATGATCGATTTGTGATTGAGGTATGTGTCCAGGTGCCTCTGTGCTCTGTCTTTCACGGGCCATGCGACACATCAGGTCCCATACTTGTTTGGCAGCAGGTCCCTTACCTGATACTCGAGGTATTACACCAAATAGACTTTGCAAGGTCATGATTGCTTGTGCAACTTGGTATAAGCATGTTGGATCATTCTCCAAATAATATTCCTGAAACAAAAAAGGCATGCAATGAAGAATCAGTACATCAACAAAAAGTGCAAACGTTCCACAATAATCGTATTAAATACATAAAATGCCTGTGAGACAACCTGTGGAAGGAAGTCATCCTACTTAACACAGGAGAACAAAAACCCTCCTGTTGCCTATCTCTTGGTGGTCCAGTGACCACCCTATTACAGTACATTAAAATTTTCTATACAATCTTATATAACAAGTTACAATACAAAGCGAGATGGAAACAAAGTGCAAAGTTGTTTCCACTTCCATATTCTGCAAACAGTTTAACTTCCTAAATTCATCACCAGACAACAGCATAAAGACAAACATGAGCAGTTAACTGCTGTAAATGTGAAATAAATGGCTACTGAACATTACAGTTCAGTAGTTAGCCTTTCAGCTTCAAATCTGGTAAGTCTTGTGTTGATTCTGTCTGGAAACTGGCAAACCTAACTGAAACTTCTTGTAGTTTTATTCTATGCTATCATCATGAATTAACTACACATGAACATGAGAACTGAAGACAATGGTGTACAGGTAGCCCTCGATTTATGCCGGGGATGTGTTCCTGGACGAATCGGCGTAAATTGAAACTCTTTTATAATGTAAATGAATGGGAAGGCAATGACATGCGTTCCCAGCACCAAAACATTGCCGAGTTGTATAATGACATTACATTTAAAGCTCTGAAATAACGCAAATAAAATAAAGAGAAATTAAAAAACATATTTTATACACTTACAATCGGTAATTCGTTGGTCCCCACGATTGACTGTAATTCTTTCATGTGATTGATGTGTACAGTCATCTCTGCTGTTATGCGATAGTTGCATTCATGTAAGACGCTGACCTATAGAAAATCGCGTAGTAAAAATAACCCTGGGACCCCTGCAGAGATTAAATTAGTCCTTTGAAAGTTTAAAGCCCCAGGAATGAAACTGTGTAAGAGCAAACTCGCATATGCAAAAGTTTGCATTTCACAAACAGCTTTTACCGATTCATCAATCTCATTGGAGCAAATTCGCATTAACGAAACATACGTAATTGCAAAGATGACTGTATTTATAATTTTTATTCAAAATCAGCGATGTAAGAATTACGATTTAGTATAAGAAGCAATATGAGAAACATTGTAAAACGTTATAAATAATAGTAAAATATATTTTTTTCACTTTTTGACTTTCTGGTTTCAAAATTGGCGCAAATTGAGGGTTACCTGTAAATAAACATGAATTTATATTATTTATTTATTTAGTCTGACAACAGGTCCATATGAACAGGATGCTTCCATCCTTTTCTCGGACTGGGACCTGTTCATATACGTTCTTGGCAGATGATCCAGAAGTGGTTTGCCATTGCCTTCTTCTGTGTGTGAATGGAGTAATTGTTGGGATGCCACGGAGAAACCGGGGAAGCCCCCGGAGGAAAACTCCGTGTTGCCTAGACCACGGCCATGCCCAACACAAGTTATAAATTCAGGCACCGCCGGGAATCGAACCCGAGACCCCAGGATTACAAAGCCAGCGTTCTAACCGCTAGACCACCATGAATAAACAGAACTAAAACATTCTTTCAAACCACCTTATTTCCATTTAACATTATTAAGGTTCTACTCATTAAACAATTCTCCCATAATGCATACTGTTAGTCCAGTAGACCCCTAAAGATGTGCAGTGATAATTTTATGTACTGTTGTTTTGAAAGTAGGTATGAAATACCCATGCACTTAACATGCTAAGCTCCAGGCTGCACTCTCTCACTGTTATGTTCTACATTCTGGATATATTACAAAATATGCACGTATTTTCTCTTAAGTGTTAAAATGTGAGACATGCCACCATTAAACAAATACAAAGCATCAGAAACTATACACATAAGCAAATGCATGAACTGAGTTCCTTACTTTAAAAGCTGACTCCAACTCCATTGACATCAGGTCGCTATCAAAAGGAAAGAGATCACAGCCAAATTCCTCAATCAAAGTAAAGTTACCAAAAACACCCCGATTCTGTAAAGCAAGAACAATAACAATGAGATACATACACCACTTCTTAACTTTCAAACATGGCGTAGGATATTTTCATATATGGGATACTGGGAACGACCCGTTCTTCAAGTGCCTGAGCACTGCGGGTCCCAACTTTCCGTTGGCTTGATCTATAGACATTCGGTAGGACTCCTTGGACGAGGGATCGGCCCGTCGCAAGGCCTCTACCTGTACACAGGACAGCACAACACAACATCCATGGCTTGAGTGGGATTCGAACCCACGGTCCCAGTTACCACAAGGCCTACGCCTCAGACCGCGCGGCCACTGCGGACCCCATTTTCATATATGAGAAATGTAAATTCATACATTAAAAGTTAAAACTCATTACTTAGATTACAGTGGTGTATCAGGTCCCACACTTCAGAGTGAAATGTGTGGCAGCAGTGGATGTTTATACACCAATTCAGAAAGTTTATTCCATACTGGAATATACATAATATCCTCATGCGTTCTCTGCAATGTACATTTAGAGTATTTCATCTGCCTTGCCCCACAAAATAAATTTACAAATTTTGAAAAAGTAAAAAATTTCTAAATCTTTTAAATTTTCAAAATTTATAAACATCTATAATTTTTAAATTTTCGAAAAAAAAATGAATTTCAAAATCCATTATACAAATTTCATAATTCCCACATTCAATATTCCAACATTTGTAATCTATTTAAAAGTATGATCTGAGGTCAAGCACAATGGCACAATCTCCATATCATATTTCATCCAAATCTGTTCAGTGGTTCTTAAATTGAATCAACTTGGCAGATGGTTGGACAGACATGACCAGCACATAATCACTATGCACTTAGCACAAAGAATGCACAATAATGAAGAGAGAAATGGAAAGAATGGAAGAGGAAATAGTTTCAAACATATCTTTGGAATAACTTACAAAAATCAGGATTTGATCAAAAGGACAACTGAGCTTAATAAAAATTGCATATATGAAAAATGCAATCACTGCAAAGAATATAAAGACACGTAAAATCAAAAGACATGAAGGCCCAGTGGTATCTTAGTGCGGCAAGGGCAAAGCCAATCTGTATTTTGAAATTCCAGGGAGGGAAATCAGACAATCTAGGAGGCCAAGCTATGGGAGTAGGGGGGGGAAAGCCAGCAGGGCAAGGGAAAGGGGGCAATGAGCCCAGAGGGGCATAAGTAAGGGGGCAAAAGCCTGGGAGGAAAGAGCCCCACATAGTCAAATCCATTGGCAGAAGCCCAAGAGGGGGGAGTATGAACTGTTGGAATACAAGCCCCCATGATCACTTTCACCCTTGGTAAAGCCCTAGGGATTACCAAATTCCTAGGGGTAGCCTGGCAGGGACACCTGAAAGATTTAAATATCCACCAGACAGACAGACATGGATGGGCCTACAAGGTGTTTTTTTTATTATGCTGCAGTGTAATGAACACTGGGTGCATTTAGTGCTCCATTTAATGTGCACACCTTCAGTGCTTTCATAGCTGTAAAAAGTATTGGAGGACCTTAGCCAATGTCTGCCTTAGTAACTTATAATTATAATGTGGAGACATATGTCATACCTTTAGCCACTTTTCACACAGCAGACTCTTCCTGGGAACAAAGAACAAATGGAACTCCTTCCTGTACCCACTTGCTCGTTCTTCCCTGAAACAGACAAGTAATGGTGAAATTACACCCATGACATAATGAACTGCAAAATCAGAAAAATGTATACAATTTTAGTCAGAAAACTTGAATAGAAGAGAGAACTTTGGACTTCTAGGCACTGGTAAATTACATTATGAACATGGATGATAAACAAATAGGGTTTAAGAGAGTGGACTAAATTTGTCTGGCTCAGGATATGGTCCAGTAACAGGTTCTTGTGTGAACAATGACCCTTCAGGTTCCATATAACAAGAGAAAAAGCTTCTCATGGATGTGCTAATGACCCTTCAGGTTCCATATAAGAAGAGAAAAAGCTTCTCATGGATGTGCTCCATGGAATTAGTTGTAATTTGTATCTTGAAATGCAGGGACAACAGGGGCTTGCAGACTGCAGGACATTGCAGATTTTCTAAAATAGGTGAAATATCCAGTTCTGAAGTAAGTCCTTGATATTCCTTCAATGTGTACCTCAAAAAGGAGAAATAAAAAATTAAGTTGTAACTAGACTCACCCATATATGTTGTCAGCAACTAAGTCCATCAGATATAGCTGTGGTCTTGTTATGAATATGATATTTCGTACATTAGCAGCAGGAAGGTGGCCAGCTCTCAGGGGGAACATTTTCAATACTTCATTCTCCCGTAATAAACTGTATTTTGCAACAAGACCTACTGGTCCTGCCAGTGATTCATCCCATACTATTGCCTGAAATAACAAACTGAATAAATTCCCACATGCATTTCAAAAGTTGCACAATGGAATAACTTGAGCTATTTCACTTTAATCAAAACATATTCTCCAGAAGTACCCTTTTAGTACTGTACTCTACTATTTCACAAACGTCTGAGAACTGCACAACATGAATGACTGAATGATTAATTTATTAACTGTTTAGGTCATTCAACAAAGCTTTTTCAACTGCACAGGTTAAGTACTCAAATAACAGGGTGGGTGCATGAATGAAGACTTAGAAAGGATATGGAAGGAAACTGTCATGGCCTATTTTTCTGTGCTATCCCAGCAGTTGACTGGAGGTACTGAGGAAAATCACAATCTAAGGTTGGTGGAAAAAAATGGAGACATTTGATAGCCTCTGGTACAATTACAAATACTATAAATAGGAGATCTGCAGCCCATCAGCCCAGAGTGTGTTGAAGAAATGAGCACGAACTAGCAGTGGTTGTGGATATGAAAGGAATAAGTGATTACTGACTAGCATCAGGGGACTGGAACAATCGTTCATTAATGCAAAAAAGAATGTTTATATCCAGATAATTGGGACAGTGACCTATGAGGCAACAGACATTAATCCAGGAAATGATGAAGTGTAACAGCGTGAAATAAATCCATTTTATATTTTTAAACAAAGAACTCGCTGTGTAACCACTGAGAAAAAAAAATATAGAAAATGAAGAATGTATAAGACAGATGATACACTTAATATTGACAGAGAAATAGGTTCCTATAACTATTCCACAGAAAGTTGTAATTACTAATGTACATAATTAAGTCTGCTATTAATGAAGATTTACAAATTAATCAACAGAATAGAGTATATGATTGAAGGAATTCTTGTACATACTTTCCATTATAACCAATACTTAAAGCATACTGTGGTGAGTTATTTGTTATAAATTTTATTATATTTGTTTTATCTAGATTTAGGGCCAGCTTGTTAGCAATAGCGTTTTACCCCAGTAGTAGTAATCACACAGTCTTCATGAACGTCTGAAGTGTGGAAAAATTAATTTATCTCTCGATCTGGAAGGCCACACAGCGCATAATTTTTCTCCCAACATTCCTTTATATTCTTCTGTCAGAGAATAACTTAAGCAGTTCTTACATCAATACATGTCTGCGTATACTGTACATTAGTTCTTACTTCTGTGCAGTCATGCAATTAAATAATTTGTTATACCTTACTACCGTCACATTTTCCAAGAAGTTGGAGCAGTTCCTTCCTCGCTAATTCTTGAACTTGTCCCACATTCACTTTCCCACCTGCTAAATGAGACGCCATTTTTAATATTCAGGCTGACCAACTTATGAACAGGAATCTAAACTTATTATTTTATGTGCACAATAAATGTACATCCGTAGGCATAATTACGTTGACATAAAAATTTGTATATAACTTATTTATTATGTGCAGTGGATGCATCTGGTTCAGAATAGGATAAAGTGATTGGGCTTGCAAACATGGTACTGAATTTGTACTGAAGTGAGATTTAAGCGACATGTATGAAAGATAAATGTACATTATTAGAGAACACAAAAACTCCACTTTTAAAAATTGTAATCGGAACGCTATAACGGGATAAATTAAAACTATCATATCAGTTACACCTATGTTGCAAACCTGAATGATGACATGCCATGACAATCGATGGTGCCATATAGAAGAATGCATCCTGGAACACTTCGAACCACAATTTTTTAATGATCACCCTCACCGAGGAGCAACTACAGTTCGATTCAAATGGACCATCTAAAAGGCCGGTGTTCGATTCCCAGCGGGACAGAATTTTTCTCTTCAGAGCAACTCCAAGATTGGCTGTAGGACCAAGCTTCTAATTCAATGAACACTGAAATTATTTTATTTGGGGTAACGCGGCCGGGGCACTGCATGGAGCTATACTCCATCATACGCCTACAAGGAGTGGTGTTTAACTGCGCACCATGAACAATTTTTCCGCTAATAGGGTGATCAGATCAATGAAAATGGGTTATGCGGACCACATAATGCGTGGGTGAGATGAAAAATATGTGCAAAATTTTGGTCGGAATATATGAAAGAATGAAGTGACAATAGAGACCTAGGTGTAGATGGGAGGACAATAGATCTTACAGGAATAGGATGGGAGGTTGTAGACTAGATTCAGCTGGTTCGGAATGGGGTACCATGGCAAGCTCTTGTGAACACAATTATGAACGTATAGATTTCACACGAGGTAAGCGACCTCCTCCATCCGAGCTGCTATCACCTTCTCATGAAGGACTCTAATCGTTGAAGTCAAATCATCATATCAAAATAATTACAGTCTGATCAATTCGTCTAGAGTGAAGAAAATGCTGAATTAGTCGTTTCTAACTCCCCATTTGAAAACTACTGCGGTCTACACTGTTATAATATACACTCCATGGCCACTTGCATTTCTTATCATCATGATTTCCTCCTCTTTATAGTGGGTCGTATATCCGTTCCAAAGGCTATGCCATTGATCGACCGCGGCATGTTGTTAGAGGGAGAATGGTGGGAGGAGAGGGGGCTTTCCGTGGCAGATAGCAAGTGTGTGCGAACTGGAGAGGGACGAAACAAAACACGCTCGATTTTCTTATCAGCCGGTGTGCGCACACGTACAAAGGAGTAGAAATATGAACGTGCATTCGGTTACTTGTCATGTAGCACCCGCATAGTGGGTGTTAATTGTCTGCCGAACATGGCAGTGGTCCAAAATTAAGTGAAGTGTGTGGAATTTTCGCAGGTGAAAACTCATACGTTATTTTAATTACGTTTTAAATAATTCCACACCCAATCCACCGCGCTCACCCGGACTTCAACATGGCTGCGTTGTGCACTGGTAAGTGAGGAGTGGTTTTTATTTTATTTTTTGCATTTAGTGGTAACAAAATGTAGACTTTATGTTGTTGTCACTAACAGCGATCTTTCACATCTGTTCAGTTAGTGATTTAAATTGAATCACATTGCACAAAACGCCGTATGTAGACTACAACTTTTGTACTTAACCTGTAATGATTCACTTACAACACCAGACGACAGTGCAATAAGGTAAAGACAATTCGGCATGTGGCCTTTATGTAATTGTTTGCAAAGTTTTCTGATTTAAGGACCAGTAAAACAGTAACTGTTTTCCCGACGACCAGTACCTTGACTCCACATTGTACCGTACAAGTAAAATTGTACAAATGTAATTAAATCTGGCACGTTTAAACATGCTTATTTACTACGTAAAAAAGTAGCGATTTTTTGTTGTATTAATATGGAATAGACTTTGTAATTCTTATACTGAACATTCGGAACTAAACGTAATGCACAAGGGCTTTTAAAACATTTTGAACTGTCAGACATACTCGTCTTCCAAGTATTCGGAGTCTGTAACACGGTTAATCCTCCCTCTTTATCAGAGATGCAGCGACTTGCCCTAAAACTCCACGTCCTCTTCCTTAATATTTGGCCGGTCATAACACAAACGGCAGAAGACTGACAGGAAGAAAGTAGTAATACTTAATACAAACTATTTAGTGCCTGAAAGGAAATTAAATTCATGAGGACAGCAGGCTATACAGGTTTGGACTATTGAAATAATTTAGTATACTTCATGAGAGGAAGTACACTAGAGGCTGATTATCCGACCTAAACGAGACCGAGAACGATCGGAAAATCGATAATGTTGGATAATATTAAGACTAATGAAAAAGATGAAGGTAAATATCAACTCAATTTGTCGCACAATTTATTATATTATTAAATTACAAGGAAAATATATCACGGCATCAAATGAAACCATCTCGAAAACAAAACTAATATCCTACATAATGTAAATTTTTAGATGAAGGAGTTATTTTAATTCGTTTTGGGTACCTGCTTCTCACCAGCCTTCCTTCCTTCTCTTTGCGGCAAGGTCACGCCAACGTCCGAACAGTAGGACGCCTGTAGCGGTCGTCTGTGTTGTTTAGGGTAAGCAAGTGCATTCTCCATTGAATTCATTCCCTCATTATGACTCATTTATCAGCTTTCTCTGGTTCCTTGTTATTGTATTCTAAATCTCCGTCGCCAGCGTGATTCACAAGATATACTGCGTCATTATCAGTCAGCTGTTCGTCTTTGCCTTTCTCACTTTCTTGTGTGAACTACAAAAATGAAACGTCTCTCTCCTTTACGTGTACACACTTCTTCGTCGTCTTTCATTTTTTATTTCAGGACTTCATTAGAAGCTCTAGCAGAGCACCACTTTTCAATTTAATTCATTTCTTCTTCCAGTCACCAGCAGCAACACAGCCGACACCATATTCTTCTGCCACTTTTCGCATGGTTTCGAATTTGTCTATTCGTTGTAAGGATTCAGGATTTTATTCCATGGAAACATCGACTTTTCCTTCATTTCACTTGACATGTTAACTAAAGAAATTACTGCTTTAGAGAAATTGGTAACTTCCGTCAACAAACATGAAAGCACAGGTGCACTCGTGTAATCGAAACCGTTAACGAAAGCACACAGAAGCATCTGTGTACGTAAAATGTAGAAGGTCAGTGGTGAGAGAGTGTGATTCTCGCCGCTACATGCTAGTTGACTACTGATAAAATGGAGTTCCGAAACGGCAATGTCGAATTACCGGAGGTCAGATAACCGGGACTCTACTGCAATTGTACATCCAGTCACAGAATTCACAGAGGATCACAGAGCTGACTGGGAAAACTAGGCTCTTCGAATGTCCCGCTCAAGAGTCAAGATTTTTGGGGAGATAGTGTCATAAAACCTTAGCAAACCACTGGAAGGCTTGTGATGATTATGACGAAGGAAACAAAAAAGTCTCTAGTTTTAAAATAGTACTTTTACGTGTGATGTTTATAATACAGTATAATCTATCGATAACTGCCTAATATTTGCGGACCGGCAGCTGTCCGATGGTTGAGACGCACTGCTTTGCGGACCGTCAGCTGTCCGATGGTTGAGACGCACTGCTTTAAATTACAATAATATTTGATGCATGAATGTTAGAAATATTTCACAATACACAACTCAACTATGAGTAGTTCTTCTTGAGAAGTAAATAGTCCGTCAGCTGGTCAACAAATTCTTCGCTTTTATGAAACCCGGAGGATAATTACTGGTTGCTCAAGAGGTCGCTACTGGTCTCTATCCTGAGCCAGATTAATCCCTATCCTATTCTTTTATGATTTGTTTTATTATTATTCTGCCGTCCCAATTCATCCTCCTTGGTTTTATAACTCTAATTATAATTCCAAATCGCAGGTCCCTATTATGCTGACTAATAAATTATAATCTCAAATCAACTAGAAAATATGCAGCATGCGTGGAAGCCGAAATGTTGTGAGTCCTATCTTTGTGCTGTTACATACACTTCAGTTATTGTGAGTTTATAATGTTTTGAACTGCATTGGTAATTTACAACTTACAGTTTACAAAGATAGGCTACTTCAAACCAAATCCAAAAAATTACCCAATCTATTTGATAGTTAGATTTTATTCCACATCAGGCGGAACGGTTATGCCGCCATGACTCGGTTGCCAGTGCTTCGTTTGAGTGCACCACGTGAAAATTGTTTGCGGTAAGGCAGTGGTCCCCAACGCGGTGCCTGCGGGCGCCATGGCGCCCGCCAAGACTTTTTTGGGTGCCCGCGGTGTTACGGAAAGAGGTTATACTGAATAATGAAGGCCGTTCAACCATTAATATTATAAAATCAAAGCACAGAGCTCGACTTACTGACGCCCACCTTGACGATTATTTGCGAGCAGCAACGCCATCCCATACTCCCAAATTTGAAAAACTGGTCGATGAAATGCAGCGCCAAACATCACACTAACTTCCCACTTGAGTAATAATAATTGTACTTATAAAACTACGTATTTTTGATTGCTTGGTTTCTTGTATCATTAAACGTCGTGTTGTTTTGTATATTATTTGGTGTCTATATCTTGTTTGTCCAGAGAAAAGAAAATTTGGCTTTGTTAATTGGTTGGTGCCCGCCACGATCTTATAAACTCTCAAATGTGCCCGTAGGCACAAAAAGGTTGGGGACGACTGCGGTAAGGTAAATGACCGTTTACGTTGTGCATATTACACTTGATGCCTTTAAAAACTCTTCATATTACTTAATATACTCGAGTGTAAAGGATAAAAGGTAACTGAATTACCCTCGTGACTTCATTGTAATGACATTTCGTCTTCCTCCTCCATGGATTAGGACGTGTTATGTGTTTGGAAACAGAGTTAATTCTGAATGAATTAGTCCTATAGACATTTAGTATTTTTTGGATGAATATGAACGAACTGGAAATATTAAGAATTATGCTGTTTTATGTGCGCTCTGCTATAGACTTGAATGGATGCATACAGCAACCACACGAATTGGATATTGTGTTTCTTGTACATGTGCACATTTTAAAAGTTCATGAACGTGCGTTAGACAATATCCATAACATACATAACTTTGTATGTTTTACACAGGAATGTGCGACTAGTCGCAGAGATTCACGTGGGATCAAAATATTCGGAAAATGAAGTGGTAAAATTGACTTACTATGTCATATTGTAGCTTTCCGACAGTTGATATTTGCTAACCTCGTGGCCGCCTATTACCCGCCTTATATAAAGGTTTCTAAAATTCGTCCAACCACTACTCATTCACCGTGAAGGTGACAACTTGAATGTTTTCCCGAAACGTTTGATAATACTTACGAAAGCAAACTATAGAGTATAAACCACACGGTGTTACGTAGTATATTGAGTAATATGTGAAATAATCCGTGACTGGTTATTTTAGCCTAATTCTACAACTTTTCGGGAACCATTAAAAGAGGGTGCCCTAACCCACGCAAGAATTGAGGTCATTCAAAGTTCACACGTTACGAAACTCACTCAAAAAGTTTCTGAATGCGATGAATTTCAGCGTGTAGTTTGATACCTGTGAATTCGCATATTATGTTCTGATATGCACATGTTTTTACTTCAAGAACTACAGAGATAAATGAATCATTATTTCATAACCCTTACATATATTCGTTCATATGATGACTGGAGTTCCAAGCAGACTTCTGATTTATGTTTCACTGGGAAAGTTTTATCGTATTTCTTCCCTACCATTCAGTTCACATTCTTTCATTCATTCATGACCAACAATATCCATAACTGACGATAAAATGTTTACGTCTTATTATTCTTTAAAATATTATTTAACGACGTTTTCTCCACTGTATAAAATATACAGCGTTAAATGGTAGGCCAGTTGTTAATGATGAATTGAGAATAATATCGAACTAAGGAATCTGGTTGTGATCTGTTCCCCTAGAATTTGTTTTATGATCTGAGGAAAACCGTGAAAACTAAGTAAAATCCGGGCTGAGACTGGAGTTAGGAGTGCCACACAAACAAATTTTTAGATTCTCACATCGGGGAGATGAAGACGAATCTTTTGGGATGTTGCGCCATGTAGTGTTTTATATATCGACCGACGTTTCAGCGGTGCTTGCTGCCTTTATCATCAGAGCGATGGCTTCGGAAACGTTGGGTCATTTTGTAGGAAACCACATAGCGCAACATCCCAGAAGACAAGTCATCTTCTCCCAGTCGCGACGTTGAGTCTAACACCTTATAGTCCTTGTATCCATTTCACGCATGGAAACCCTACAGAGCAATTTGCCAGACTGAACCAGGATTCATAAACGAGTACTTCAGGCTGAGCCACGTCACTTCTACGCATACCATCTCGTGAATACTAACTTTTTAAAACCGTTTAGATTTGCATATATAGCGCCTTGGTTTTGTTTGATCATTGTTTAAATGAGATGTAGGTGCTCATATAGCAAGACTTTTTATT